GTTGAAGAACAACTCAAAACCACTCCTATTCTATCTTCTCTCTCTGTCAATTACACTACAGGCAGACTTATTGCTATGGCAACTAACAACAACACTGCTAATGTATCCGGACCAACACCAAAAAGAAAGCAAATATGTCCCACACAAAAAACAGAACACTCAGGTCACTAAAGTGCTATATTTGTAGCCTTAATGTTTATTTTGTGATTATTGTTAATTGATAGCTTAGCTACCCCTGCTATTAGCTAAGCTCCCACAGTGATGGATGATTAGCAAATTTAAACCCCTGCTCTACTGAGGATCTGTCAGACTTGGTGCTTACTTTACCTTTTCTCAAATTTTCTATCTGAACCGAGAGATACCAAATTCTGCAGCACATTCATGTTACATTTTCCAAAGTCAAGCTAGCATAACTAACCCACATTCCATGACTTTTTTCTACAATTAAAATTTTTCCTGACCTTGTTATGCAGTTGAAAAGCACCGCGACCCTTTATGTCTTACATAGCAGGCGTACATTTAAGATTTAGCGAGTTATGTTGACATCTTGACAGCTAAAGCCAATGCTAGTCATTGTCAGCGAACAGCTTTTTGCCCTCCATCCGGTACCTGTGGGGGCACGATTTGCACATGTGAAGTCACGATGCAACGTTTCTGTGTAGTAAAATCTATAATAAAAAAAAAATGCTGATCATTTTACCAAATTACTTTAATGCACAACCCATTTATGTTCAAAGCGGCAGAAACAGAGTCACGTTATCATAGTAACTCATCAAGCTGTGCTCAGCAGAGCATCAAAACAGCCTCCCATTAAACTTTGTCTGTTTGCTGTCAGTGTCCTCTCATTATGTGACAAAATCAGAATATAAACAGTGGCATGAAATCATGCCAGAGGTTAGCAGTGTAAATTTCATCCCTGTGAGCGATGGCAGCATTTTTTACACCCAACTTAACATTTGAATAGCCTCCTCTAATTTTGCTCCAGTTTACAGAGTGGCAGAGCAATTATGTTGCTATTCTTTTCATTGTTTGATAATGATTTTATGGGCTTTATTTTTAATTTAACATGAGAGAAATTTGTGGTATAATATCTTAGCTACTGTGCTACGTTCAGATGAGCACTTTGAATTTTTATTGATTGAGAAAAATGATTCCTTTTTGGATTCAGGCTCTGCTTGACAATGAATTAAACAAACTGGTTCAGACTTTAGAGGAATAAGCCTATTTTTAAATTGTTAAATATTACAATTTACTTTAATTTATCTTTTATGTGTATTGAGCAGTTTTTTAATAACTAAAGGTAACATAGATATTTGACTGTGCCATAAAATGGCCCAACATTCCTAGAAAACACACAACCAGTGAAACGCAGTGCGTTGTGAAACTGAATGTTTACTTCTGTTGCTGCGGCATCTTTGATTTGGTAAATCCAAAAACAAAGTGATTGCATAGCAGCAGGAGTGTCAATGATCTGAGCTGTCCACTGCAGGCGTGCGTTTGATTCAAACAACACCAGCTTGCTTACATGACTCACCTGTGCAACGGCAAAGCAACATGGCTGCCCGCTCTGTTTGAAGTCAAAGCAGAGTAAAGCCAGCGATGCGCTCGCCAAAGTTCAGGCGACTGCGGGGAGCTTTTGATTCCGAGCAGCTCCACGTGTGACGGGTGTAATCAGAAAGTCCGCATAGTTGATTCATTCTTGCTTTTGGTGGGCTCTGGACTTTAATTAGGCCTGTTTGGCTCACAGCGGTGTTTGACTGACAAACCTGGGTTAAAATGCATCCAAAAATATTATATCTCTGATAAACGACACTCCATTCCAAGAAGATAATATGCTGCACTTAGCCTTTTGATTTGTGCAATTATGGTGCCTACTTTTAATACTTGTTAATCGAAATGCATTAGTGGTTAAAAATAAAAAAAGAAATTTAAAAAACATCAAGCAGCATTTTTTAAGTGTTTTGATGAACAAATTTCTCTCCATTTAATAAATTTCATAATTTCCTTCTGTTCTCCTGGAGAAAGTGCAGCAGCAATCAGCTTCCTGAAAGTAACAGGTTTCTATTCACATTTTTCAGTGAGGTTCACAGATAATGATGTAGCAGGTCAGTCACAAGTTATTCATGCTCCCCATTGTCTGTCTGATTAGAAGCATAGTTATGAAAATGTGAAATGATTGCTCTCACCCATCTGGGACTGATTTGAATTCTTACAGTCTGTTATTTACCAGATACATTTTTTTTTTAAATCTGTGGTGTTGGTTTCTCTCCAGGGAAGACGCCGTTTGATCCTTTACAGAGAGGGAAAAAAAGTTACTTTCTTCATCGTGAAAATGAAATTTCATATTTGTAAAACAGTTGTTATTTTTCACTGAAACAGCAGTCTGTCCACGAGCCAGACAGTGAAAATGCTATCACCCTGCAAGTATTTGTCCAGCATGTTAAGTCTGGATCACAGATTTCCAATTTTTAGTAACCCAAAAATTCTCACAAAATATGTTGTGAAATGTGAAAAGTTCAGTGGGTATGGATGCTTTTCGCAGCTGTCTGAATTAGTCGTCTACAGAACAGATGAGAGCTTTGAATGTTTATTGATTGAGGCAAATTATTCCGTTTTGCATTTAGGCTCCGCTTGACAATCAATTAAACTAACTGGTTCAGACTTTAGAAGAATAAGCCTATTTTTAAATTGTCATCGACCAGTCTTCTTCATCAGGCGGTCGAACCTTTTACATCCCTCACTCTGACGCTGCTGCCCCAGCAGATTACGGCAGAAGAAACGACGCTCTCAACAAGACAATTATAGAAAATGCAGAACATCTTGCTGCAAACCTCGAAGGCTGTTGTCTTCCTCATTCTACATTCTGGTATTTAGTTTCCAGGTCTGAATTTGATGACTATCTCTCTATTAATCTTGTTATGTCTCTCTGATGTGGAGGCTCAGGCTTCCATCGAATCACATTCTTTTTGCAGCCCAGGTAGCAGGTAGATTAAGGGTTTTCAACTATTTAATCAGCAGACATTCTGGGTTTCCCTTAACTGCTTCATTTTGCTGCCCGCACATCTTTCTCGCAGTTTCTGCGGTGCAAATCATCAATTGTTCAATTACTCTACATGTTCAATTACTCCCCCTCTTCATCTCCGATCCTCATCTTGCACTTCTTCAGCCTCTGATTGGCAGTCTCCCACTGCCACTCCACATCCTATCAACCCAAACCCCAGACATCAACCCTCTTGTAAACTCACCAACTCTCTGAAGGTGCCGACAAATGAAGCTGCGGACTCCTATGATAGGAGGACAGGATGATCAGCTTGGAACTGCTGCATGCCTGCTAGTTTGTGGTGGGGTCTATGCCGGGACATTCTGACCCCTCAACCCTACTTCCCCTGTAAATGTACTAAAACGATATCTTTACTCTAAATCAAGTGAATACTCTCATTCCTGCCCTTAAACATCATCCTGATGGAGAGTTTACGTTCTCATTGACACACTCATTCATGGTTTTCACTCACTTCTCTATTTTGCTTCGTCAGATCTCGATACAATTGATTCATTTCTAGCCAAAGAAATCAAAGAAGGGTTATGCATTTGTATATGTATGTATTTATATATTTTTTTTTTACATTAGTACAGACTGCACTCTAATTCCAAAGATGGGGGATTAGAGTGCAGTCTGTAATAAGTCGGTTTTTGAGTCGGTCTTCTATGAGCCAGGTGTTTGTGCAGATAACATTGTCTCACGTTGAGTAAAGGTTGTGTCCCAGGTGAGCGAGCCTGACGGATGCTCCGTGCCTCTGGAAGACATTGTTTGGCTTTCAAGCAGACGGTGACGTTCAGGCCTTTGAACATTTTTCAAGACAACTTAGAGAGCATGTTGCTCTCTAAGTTGTCGTCCACAGTGGGTGGGAGGTGGTGGCTTGGATTGCACAAATAAAAATCGGGTCATTCTGTGTCCACCTAAAAGCGCTTCATATTTTAATACAGCATAACAACAGACTAATGTTTTTTATTAGAATTCAATGTGGAGCAACACAAACTAGGGCATAATTCTAAAGCAGAAAAATAGACTTCTAAAACAATCTGATAAATGTGGTGTGTATTTCTGTTGCATAACGCAACATATTAGACTTGTACTTTTTAATCAGTGTACAAAATACATGTTGTGTTGATGTCGCAGAGGTTCTTTAGAGAATATTGTGGGGGGGAAAAAAACACCTTTTAACCACATTTGGACATCAGCGGATTTCTTTATGATGTTGTCTTTTCAGATTGCTCTGAAAACAGTTTTATGTTGCTTAGCCAGAAGGCAACTCGCTCATTTATTACATTACATTGCTGAAACTATTTGCTGCCTTCACACACACAAAGGAACTGAGTGGCATCCCATTCTTAATCAGTGGAGTTTGATTTGAGGATCCACTCTCAGTAGTAGTAGCTTCAGCTGTCCTGGTGATGGCTCACATGCTTATGGGTATATTTGGTTATTCATCCAGAAGAGCATTTGTGAGGTCAGACACTGGTATTGGATAAGATGGACTGGTAGGGCTTAGGTGAAAACTTTGTGTTGACTAATCAAGGACTTCCCCATCAAACACACTTTGCGTGTTTTTACAGATCTGGCTTTGTGACGTACAGGACTGGGCTCCCCCTGAACTGTTTCCACAAAGTTGAGATTTGTTAGTTTCTCTAAGCAGCAAGAAAATTTCTCAACAAGACTTATTGCACAGGTCTCTCTCCGTCACAGGACCAGAAGTAAACCCACCAAATTCCTAAGAATGATCCATTATTTCACAGATGTTTGCAGAAATGGCCTTTATGGCTATAGGGGATGAATTTTGTTCAGCTGCAGCCATGATGGTGGAGACTGGAACTCACATTTTTTTGGTGTGACTTCAAATCGGCAAAACATAAAATGAACCCGCAAAAGATTGCCAAACACTCACACCTGTAAATGGGCAAATGTTACAATGCCAACAGCCATTGTAATTTGTCTTTGGCAGGTACATGGCCATCATCCACCCTCTGCAGCAGCGCATGTCGTCCACAGAGACCAAGGTGGTGGTCGGCGTGATCTGGGTTCTGGCTCTGCTCCTGGCCTTTCCCCAGTACTACTACTCCACCACGGACCAGCTGCCTGGACGTGTGGTGTGCTACATCGAGTGGCCTGATTATACCACGTTCGACTTCAAAAAGATGTAAGTTCCTCCGCGTGGGAGTTTTTCTGATACTCAAGAGAGCATTGATAACTTTTCAGCTGACAGCCAGCGCTGGTGCGGCTTGTTTGTGTTCAGGGGGAACCGACGGAGAGCGTGAGGGGATGGAAGTGTGTTGCACTTTGCGCTTGATAAAAGGAGGTGTCTCGCAGCTGTTTTACGTTTTTCCCCCACAGTGAAAAAGGAAAAAGCAATCAGTTTGCACCCGACAAAGACGTAGAAACTGACTGAAGACACAGCATTTATTTTAATTGCAATTCTCCTTCTGCAGCTCTTCTGCAGGTGCTGAATGTTTCCTTAAAGAAGTTATTGTACAGGAGCAAAAACTCAGGAACTCAGAAGACAGAAACAAACAAATTTTCAGATTAAATGATGAGCCCTCCTTGCTCTGCTTTTGATTCTTATTTTAGCTCAATAATATGTTTTCTAGGAACCCCTTTCTGAGTTAGCTATCTGAAATATTAATAATTCTGACAGCTTCTCATTTAAACATGACTGTCTGAGGAGCTTAGTGTAAACAGAAATTTGTACGGCTCCCTTCAGCTGTTTATCACAGCGCGGCAGATTGACGCAGTTTGTTTTTGAAGGAATAGCAATGTGTTTTATCGGTGCTTTTGATTCCAAGCTCTCAAAAACCCAGCTGTCCGCCTTTGCAATTCTGCTTTAATTGTATGAATGAGAAAGAGCCCTATCAATCATCCCTTTAAGGAGCCATAAGCAGGCCTAATTTTTATATTCGCCGCTCTAAATAACGAGGGATTTCGACGGAGCTGCCGAGGGGCAAGCTGCTCAGAATGGTAACGCGTAAACTCCAACCAGAGGTCAGCGTACTCCTCAGGCAGGCTTTGTGTTTTTCTTATGAAAGCCATGCAGGGTCATGACTTTCATCGTGCCGACTCTCCTGCACTCCAGCTCATTTCCTCTTTGGTTCGTAGCAAAACGCTTGTTGATTTAGTTGGAAATGTTTATTTTTCTTATTCTGTGCAGCCTTTCATTGGATAAATCCTGGTGTGCTTAAACATAAGCAACAAGACCATGGTGGTTTTCTTAGTGCCATTTCAATAATGTATGTATGAAAACAAGAGGTGATAATCATGTCAAAATAATACATGAGATGCATCAAAACACATTTAGAGAGAGTCTAACAAATATAGTTTCTCAAAAAATTTCTTTTGAACATAATTTATTGATGTATATCAGCTGTTGTTGGGGCTTAAGAGTTGATTTGTGAGATGTTTTAGACTACTTTATGTTATCAAACATGTTATATTTCATTGATTTATTTATTTATTCTGCATGTCCAGCAATAATATGGTATGGAAGTTCATTCTAAAATTAAACCCAGCTTTCAAAAGAAAAAAGAAATAAATTAAAAAAGGGGAGTCACAGTAATTCATAATTTACCACAGAAGCAATGACTTTTTCCACGTAGGGCCGGGTTGTGGTATTGATATATTTGTCCCTGAACAAATATAATAAAATAGTTTTTTTTTTAAACTAAAATGTTTTGAACTGAGAAAAAAAAAAGAAGAAGGAGAAGAAGGAATGGTCAGAGAAATCTGTGCCAGTTTTTGTCTTAAAGGAAACAGTTTCTCTCTCGGGTTTCAATTTTATTTTCCAGATTTAATTTGAAATATTTGGCAGTAGGGTTGAGCTCTCTGTGATCTTGGTCATACTGCAGAGTTGGAGGCGACGAGTCATCCCTCCTCCAGGTGTAACGTTTCTCTCGGATGCTAAAATAAACCCGAAGAATCATAGCAGCCGTTTAACAATAACAGAGATCATCCGGGCAGTTTGTTCATGCAATTCTTCAATAGGATAAAGTGCAGGATGATTTTGTCTCCTCAGAGTAGATGATAAAAAATTTCACAGACGCCACGCCGTGGCAGACAGACTCTAGAAGCTTCCATAGAAAAAAAAAACAGTTTGTCTCAGTTGAAATATTGAGCTCGCTCTTTACTCTGGCTCGGTAAACACCAGTGTCTTCTGTTTGTCTTTTTGAAATCCCAGCATGGCGCACACTTGAAAGCAGATGCACAGGTGCGCCTCCACCAAAAGCAGGAAGAGTAGCATTAGAAAAACGCCGCTATGCTGACGCACGTGCAGGCCCACAGACACAGTGACGACACGCTCCCCCGCCCACCTCTGAAGTCTTCATCATCTTCTGCGTCTGTCGCGTTCCTTCGTGGATCACACGACTTGTTAGAAAAGCAGCTGCTCTTATTTCTCATTTTAATGAAAGAGTAATTACAGCCACTTCAGAGGTGAGTGAAAACGCAACGCGGACGTTCAAACTCAGCTGCCGGAGCTGTAAATGGCACGTCTGATATGAGCTGACCCCGGGGTCAGGTCCCACCTGTTGCCCCATCGCAGGAGTTGTTTTGCTGCTGCCACCGCCGGCGACGTCTCCAGCCGTCCTGGGGGTCTGAGTGCAGGCGGTGAGAGCTGGAAAGCCGGCAGGGTCTCAGAGGAGAGGTATTAATAGAAGTTGGTGTTTGTGAATGCATGCTGGCGCGGACAACTGCTCAACCCTGACCCACCTCCGAAATGTTTTCACATAAAGACACATGAGCCTGAAAGCGACTCTCTGTATTGTTTCTACATGCGTGCCTGTTTCCCTTTTAGGCAAAGACAATGTGACAATATCATTTTTTTTTTTTTACACGTTATTTTATTATTTAGAAAAACTATGTAATTGCAAGCAGGTTTATAAACTGTTAAATTTTAACTAGTTCCAGTGCTTTGATCCCAAAATAACTTAAAGGGGCGGTGTTATATTTTCCAGCCACAGAGAGTCATTTCATAGCACAATATGTTACTTATCTTACCATTAATTGTTATAAAAATGCTCCATACATAAAATATAACTTAAAAGAAATTTTACTTTGTAACATAATCCCTTGAAATTAGGCCTCTCTCTCTTTAAAAACTCCTTCTCTTTTTGACTTTCCGCCTTCGGGAAGTCATCACATGTCAAAGCTAACACGGAAAATTCTTAACCTCTTTAACATACATTTTGGTAAATATGCAAACCCTTTATTTGCGGGAGGAAAAAGTGGACATTCTTAGTTTTCCTACAATTTTGTCGCGTCCTCCTCAACCCAAGACTGTGCAAGTGTGATACTCCGCAACGGCCCGGATGAGTCCTCCCCACTGCTGCGCCTCACAGGTCTGAAAAAGGTGGAATGTCTTTTGATCTTTCCTTTCAGTAATAAAAAAAGGTCTGTAAAGGGTCATATAGGAACAAATTAGCTGTCGCCCTTAAAGCCAGAAGAGCGACAAACCCCAGGAAGCTTATAGACTCGTTCCGTGCCAGAGTCTTTAAGGAGCCAATTCTCTATATTTACAGCAGAGGCTGCCATGTTTCTGCTGCAGGGTTTTGTTCCCTGGTTATCTGTAGAGGGAGATGTGGGTCAAGTGTTCAGGAAACGGTGTCAGGTGAGACTTTACGACACAGCTGTGACTTTGCTGTAACAAGCCTGTTTGTCTTCGTCAGCTGCTGTGTGTCCAGGCATCGGGACACGCCGCACACACGATGATGGAGGAGCTGATGTCCGGTTTACACAAGCAAGGGCTAAACACAATGACTCACTTCACTGCTGATCTCCTGTGAGAGCATCTGATGACAGAACCCTAGAAGTAGTGGAGCCTACTTCTGCCACCTGGTAACCCAGTGACCCCGTAACCCCCTGGAGATTACAGCAGTGGGAATGACTAAATCAGATCACGTTTAAAACTGTGCTTCATGAGAAAAAGTACAAACACAGATAATGAAGATATACATGGGAGGAAATGGACCCAAAAGGTGTTCTGACCAGAAACACGTATAAAACACTAACTCAGTGTAAATAACGCTCTGAGCCGCCCTGTTCGTATCAGAAAACAAGAGATTCAAGGTTTCTTGTTATGTCAGGTATTATTTTGGGTGTCATTTGTAGTGACGGGCTCGTACCAGATTCATATCACCACGGTAACCTCAGGTAAAAATACTATGCCGTAACAGATTGTTTGTAAAGCTGTACTATATAAGTTTTCCCCAAGACACAAGTTTTCATGAGATGGAAATAAGTTTTAAAAATTCTTTATTGTTGTGTTTTGGTACAGCTCTATACACTACCAGACAAATTTTATATGTATAAAAAAATAATAATAATAATGATAATTACCATTTGTGAGATTACTTTACATGTAATATGTACAGTAAATAATGCTTATTCACGCTTGAAGTAAGATGTTATGAAATGTCAAAATACAGCTGTTTGGTTGTTTTTTTTCTCACTTTCACATGACATTTAGCCTACAGTATGCATGTGTGTCTGTCGCCATGGGGCGACAAAAGCTGCCGGCTTTGTACCGACTCTGCTTACACGCTTAAATTCACATTTTCCAGCTACTGCTTTTTTAAGCATGACTAAGGAAGAAAAACATTAGCGGTGTCCAAAATTACAGAACCTGATCAATCAAAGTTACGGTGCAAACTGCGTCAACATGTCTGTGACCTCTGTTGTCACATGAGCAGAATCAATATCATTTTACTCAGCAAAGTGAAAAAGTACAGCGTCTTCTCCCCAAAGCGTCGTTTGTCATTGGCTGCTGAGTGTCTGCTTGGGCCCTCTGGGGAACCTGGTTCTGCCTGCAGGTCTCTGTGCTTTCACAGAGTCATACTTCACCTCCAGATGGCTCATTGTGAATGATGAAACTTGTGTCACCATTCCATTTAAATGCATTCTGTGATTTGATTTGATTTTAAGGCAGTTGAACGTTTGAAAAAGTATGCCGTTAAGTGTCGGGGGACACTTTCCATAGGGACATACATTCACCAAGATGTCTCAAAGGTAGAAGAACACCACACAGGCAGCCAACAACACACTGGCATATAAAAAAAAACGCACACAGGTTTTAACACTGGGATTTAACATTCAAAATAATATGATTAAAAACAACAATTTATTGTTTTTGCTGTAGATATTACTAGTTTTTTT